CCTTGAGTTATGTACGTGTCCCTTGCGCACATGTTATTCTTTCCAGGGAAGGGATGTGCAGCACCAAGCCTAAAGGAAACATTCATGGAGAATTCTTGATTCTCCCCAACATGAATATGCCAGCTGTTATCGTTAGAAACCATGTACAGAACTTCACGCGAGAAGATTATGTAGTTCCCTAAGAGAGAAACCTGCAAAAATTACCCTATGGATGGTCGATGGTAGGTTGGGCGGGCACAAGGGAATACATGGAATGAACTGAAATTTGAGGCGATCATGTATCAGGTAGTACAATGAAAGAATTGGGATGAAAGCGTTCAAATTTGGAGAATACAGGCAAAATGATCGAAAAAAGGATGTGTTGTACATCTACTCTCATTTTTGGACGCAACAACGTACATCGAGGCAATCATGAAGTGTAACTTCAAGAAATGCGCGGTTACCTTTCTGCCACGGCTAATTCACCTGCGAACTACTACCTGACCTAAGGATGCCATGACGCCCCTTGAGCCCATTAATACTTATAACACCTGAACTTCTATTGCACTGCAAGTAATCAAAGACGAAAATTTGCCTCCATCTAGGGTCCTGTGCCCTGTTGCGCTTGAAACGAAATATATTCACAAAGCAAAGATGCGCACGTGCCCCTATGGGGTCGGCAGCTCGTGAGGTACATGCGTAATTCCGAAGTGGGTACCTTGTCTTACCACAATCACGACGTCACGTTATGGAGGTTCATAGTTGACGATCACACGTGCGGTTAGGCGATTAGCCGATTCGTCTATAATGAAAAATTCACGTATAGATCAGGCGAGTAGGCGAGTAGGCGATTAGGCGATTAGGCGGAAGACTACATACGTATTGATTGGTTTGCTCCGCCCATAGAGCGTTGTAGGCGAGTAGGCGATAGGCGATTAGGCGATCGCTCAATGGGCGGAGCAACAATCAATACGTATCCTTCCCTTATCGCCTACTCGCCCAATCGCCTAATCGCCTATTCGCACGTACAATCGCCTACTATGAACTTTCCGTTAGAATGATATCCCAACTCTAGTTCGAACCATAGTCTTATTAGCGGTTGATTCCATTCCATGGCAGGTACAAACCGACAGGGTGCGGGACTTTTGGCTCCTCCGGAGTGGCACGCGGCGAACTGCGCGGCGGCGTGCGCGGCGATCCGGACGAGGCAAGCTTCGCGGGTTTCTGCAATAGAATTCAACACGTCAAAGCGTGTGCAGATTGCGGATAAACTCTGCATGGTTCTGCGGTTTGAAAGCTTTCCGCACACGAATATTTGATGCAGCGGTGTCCATGAGGAGATTTTAGGACAAGGAGATGGAAGAGCCTTCATAAAAATGTCACTACTACCATCAAAGCGAATAAAATCACTAAGATCAGGGGTTTTAATCGAGATATAGTCATATGGCAACTATACATGCTTGCTGACGTGGCGCTCATGCTTCTATTGTTATTCAAAACAGGGTCGATGGTACGTGGAACTAGAACTACCAGGGGAGGGAGAAACGCTAGGTAGAACACAATTTGCTCACATCTTCCCTAGATCCCTTCCCCTTCTTGAGGCTCAATTTTATGCACGTAAATTGGCTTACTCAATTGAATGTTCTCAACACCCCCCCCCCCCAAAAGCATGAGCACTTATGTACCTTCGAATTCACGCTGGAAAGGCAACCCATTTCAAATTAACCTTAGGCGATGGTGAGTGGTACACTAAAGAAGGAAAAACCATGAGAAACGGCCCAGAACCCGAGAAATGGGACCCCTTCCTTGCCCGTTGATTTGATTTGAGCATTGATGCGACTCTCATCGCTGTGCCCTCTTCAACACTACGCTCTCTCACCTATCTAATCACTCGCCACGTATAGACCTGCGGCGAGTGATCAGATGATCGGTGGGCGTGCACTGGCCCACCGCGCCAAGATTGAGCCATAATAGGTCGCCGAGGTCAACTCCTTCGGTGCCAATTGCGCTTCAGTTCGCACCCTCAGGAGGTCCGCGGGTCCCTCAACTAGGTGAATTACTCCTTCTTCGACCTTCATTCTAATCGTGAATTTGTCCTTTAAGTCTCCTTACCAGCATCACTATCCCGCACGCGTTAAAAAGCAATTCGAATAGCAGATTCTTGCAGGTTCATCCGCGATCTGCACACGCTTTGACGTTAATCCCACTGCAGAAGCCCGCGAGGGCTTGCCTCGTCCGGATCGCCGCGCAGCCCGCCGCGCGATTGCCGCGTGTCAACCCGGACGAGCCAAAAGTCCATCGTCCAAACCGACACACCATGTTAGCAGTTGATATAATAGAAGGATAACATACGCAATGATGATAAGCAGACTGTTTTGTCAATAATCATTAATTCGTGTGCACAGAGAGGTTCATTCGTAAGAAATGCCCTCAACAATAGAACTGCAAGATACGGTGAGTCTTCTTGAACAATGAACATGAAGAATCTTGCAAATTATACCAGCAATCGTGTTACGTACTTAGAAGTCCGGGCGCTTATGGCCTTGGACCGACTACAGGAACACTCAAAACAGGACACTTGATAACTGTAACATTCGTTCTGTTCCTTGGGACAGAGCTTAGGGAGGAAAGCGGACACCGGGAGGGTGTGAAGCAAATCTCGTTCTTTCTTCGCTTTTCCAGGTGAGGTCAATAATGCCTCCCCTCCTCAAGGCAGCCGGCGTCGAAATCTATCTTTCCTAGCCAAATGAGACTTCCCTGATTTCAAATGGGGTTGTACTGGAGATGACCCGCTCAAACTTAGCCTACTGGTCTTCACATGTGAAGTAGGTATGAGACCGTACTGCTCTAACCAGGAAGGTCTTTCAGGGCGTGACAAGCTTTTTGAAAACGGTCTTTTGCATGATATAGGGGCAGATGCGGGAACCACAGAACCATGTTTAATTTTTCCTGAACGGCCCTCTGAATACCAGAAAAGGAGGTCCCTAGTTCGATTCCTCGTGGTAACAAATTTTTGCATTTCGAGTTGACGTGCCAAAATTCGCGCAAAATGGAGTTAGAACCAACCAGAACAATCAGAACTCCATTTTGCGCGAATTTTGGAACGTCAACTCGAAATGCAAAAATTTGTCACCAAGAGGAATCGAACTAGGGACCCCCTTTTCTGGTATTCAGAGGGCCGTTCAGGAAAAATTAAACATGGTTCCCGCATCTGCCCCTATATCATGCAAAAGACCGTTTTCAAAAAGCTCGTCACGCCCTGAAAGACCTTCCTGGTAAGGTAAGTCTCATTCGCACCTAGGCAAACCATAGTAGTCAGCTTATTGGTGCCCTAAGTGTACCCGTGCACTCGTCTCTGTCAGCAAGCGCTACGCACAAATGCTTATCCCACCCA